AAAGTCAAAGTCAAAATTTCTTTATTTGTTTGGACTAATAAATAGTTCTTACAAATCGTCATTTTGGTCTTAAGGAGCCTCTACATGTCTCATAATCTTTTTACCCTACCAGCGCTTCGAGACCAACATTTGGCAAGTGCTGAGAAGAAGCGCCGCAACAAACTCAGTCACCACTGTCTGCCGGTTAATATAAATAAATAGAAATAGTAGTAGTAGGTACATTCGATTCAGGAGCAGTTCACTGAATTTACCATGCATTCTTGTATGGTGTATCTTATAAGAATGGGTATACAAGATTGCGTGGTATATTAAACAAGGTAGTGACGTGCTAATATACATATATTCTTACATATTAAGATACTAGTAGAAATGACTCGCATACATAAATTTGAATAACTTGGATTGACCAGTCCCCAAAAGCAGCGCCTGTTCACAGACATGACGAGTGAACCAGCCATCGCTTCACTCGACCATATTAGAGGGAATGTAACGACCCGCCTCACTACGCCACCACCCCAGAGACATTTTAGTGAGAATGACAATTCCAAGTTATCTCTTTGAAAAAAAACTAATAATAAAGCTAAGTAACAGTCCAGATTGAGAAGCATGACACTATAACATTTGAGAAGTAATTGCTTACTTCTGAAATAATATATTGTGGTAACGACGGACAACTACGGAACCCTACAATGCGCGTGGCCAATTTTTTTAGTTTAAAAAACATGGAGCAATGTTTCACTGAAGTTCCAACACAATTCTTTTCTTTACTATATTCGTTACTATTACTCTTCAATGTATACCTGGTAAACAGCCAGTATCCATTGTTGTTGGGATTCTCAGTGTATCTCTTAATGAACTCGTAGTCTACAAACTCTTTAGTGTCCACCAAGTGAATCAATCCATCTCCATCACCAGGGAAATAGAAAAATCTGTCTCCTTCCTTGTAACCCTGTGTTGGGTCTTTAATGACACTCGCAGCAACAGTTTCAAGTATGGTTTGACCAGTGGTAGTACCTACACATGGACTACAATCCTTAAAACACTTGCTAGATAGTGATAAAGATATCTAAAAATGTTTAACACCTAACAGTTAAATAATAACGAATTTTACTGTCTTAATAAAACATAAACTATTGAAATAGAATAAGAAATGTAAATGAAAATGCTTTAAAAATAAATAAAAAACAGAAAAGAAAACAAGCAGAATCTTTTTAGAAAAGACAATTACCAGCTATAACGACGGAAAAGAGAACTAGATACCTCATATTTCCTAATGGCTAAAATGAACTACACCGATCCTCTCCGGTGACATTGGTTTTATAAGAGAGCCCTTTGTTTGGTACTCATTAGATTACCTTTCCTCTAAATGATGATAACGCACGTTTTGACTATCATAAATTCCACTGTTACCAACGCTCAGTCGAAGTTTAAGACGTTAGATATGAGTAACAAACTCTGAAAATTGTATTTTAACCGATTGAGTCCCAGACGGCATTAATTATTGTCATAACAATTGATTATCTATTGTGTCTAGATTGACTAGATTCGCATGGGCATCGAATATTTTATTAAGTATTGGTTTTTCTTGTAATTTTAGTATTCAAGAAAATTAAAAGAACTGCTTGAAAACTAAGAAATTACTTATTCACAAAGGAGCATGATGTCTCTAAAGTAATAATAATAAAACGATTGTCTGGTCATCATATAAAATCCATAATATAATAATTTTGTGATCAGTTAAAATAACCAAAATTCATTGAATAAATAAAATAAACAGTAATTAATTTATTAATTATTTATTTATCTTATCTGATGTCATACATTTTAGAATGGGTAGTTTCTAGCCGTGTTGACTCGGTATATTCCAGATCTGTGAACAAAAATGAAAACGAAAAGTTTAATTCAAATTCAAAACAAGACTAAATTTTTGAATAAGTTCAGCTTGTCATCCGTAATAACTGTGAACATAATGACTTCTGGCCAACATCTCGGTTCTATTTATCATCGGATCTTATTTAAGAGGACATGTGGGTTTATTTTTTTACTTAAGTACAATTTAGCTAAATAATGATAGTCCTGCCTCATGGCGAAAGTCGGATGTTATGACTCAAAAGTCAAAACTCAATATCACTCTCAAAATCACTCACCCAGATTTATTCAGGTCGCTGTTTCCCATATGATATACTGCTCCAGTGCAACGATTACTGGTAGCATTAGAGCGACTTCCGCACTCGTTAGCAAGGAAGTGGTTGTATCTTATTGAAGCGACCATGTAATCCACAGCTCTACCATGCGAACAGCTGTTAGTCCAGCATCCAGGCATGCTGCGGCCTCCGTTAGGGTAGAAGTCAGCGTGACCACAAGGGTCAGTGAATCCGAGGAACAACGTGTTTGTGTGCATTACTTCGACGTATCTCGCATCGGTTTCGACGAGACGCTCGCGGTCACCTCCCCATAGTGGTCCAGCGGGGTCCAGAGCTAAAATATATAAAAAGATTATTCTACTGCTAAGTATAAGAAGCACTGGTCCTAATATGGGCCCTGCGGGATTCGTCGCAAAACATGTTGGTAGCTAGCCGTAAGTAAATAACAGAATTTTAAATTTAAATAATGAACGCATTAAAAACCATCCAAGAAGGAACAGAACTTACCAGTAATTCTATTAACTTGAGCACCAGTTTCCCGTCCAGCGTTACCAACGAGGTGACCGCCAAGACTGAAACCTACGAGGTGCATGGTATCGAAAGAAGCGCCCAAAGACACGAGCCAGTTGAGGAACTGTCCCAGTCCTCTGCCTACTGCTGGAACTCCATTCTTTGCTGTCAAATAGTTTCGGTTTGCCAGTTGATTCCAGTCAAGCACGAAAACATTGTAGTCACCGTCTTGGAGGAAGGCTGAAATATAAAGTGAACACTAGCATTAATCCAGGTCCTTTCCGAGATCTTCGTTGATGTATGAAATAATATTATTGCTGTCGAATTACCTTCAGTCAGTTGTCTGTTCATGGAATTTGATCCATCACCATTCCAACCATGAGCTATAACCTTGATGGGCTTAGAACTGTCAAAGTTGGAGTTGTGGAGCGTGTTGACGTTATGCAATTGAATGACTTGAGGCGTCGTAGGGTTCGCTCTGAAACAAAATAAGTCTTGGTTTTCATAATGTTTTAAATAACTACAGTTATTTGCAGTTATTAGGTTTGCCAGAGACAACAACGCTCAATTTTTTTTTCTGTATGAAATACGCATCTAAGATATTGGATATTGGAAAACACTTTTCCTCTCTTGTATTCAAATGGATGCAAAACAGTAGTTGTCAGTGTTTACCTAGTAAACAGCCAGTATCCATTGTTGTCAGGGTTCCTAGTGTAACTCCTGATGAACTCGTGGTCTACAAACTCTTCAGTGTCCACCAGGTGAAGGGTGTCGTCTCCATCACCAGGGAAATAGAAAAATCGGTCTCCTTCCTTGTAACCCGCAGTTGGGTCTATAATGACGCTCGCAGCAGAAGCTGTAAAGAAGTATTATAGTTACAGAAGTATGTTTAGAATATTTTTGATGAATCAAGAGATGTTATTTTGATAGATATCTGGAATGATTAAAAAAAATCCAAATTTTAAATAAATAATAAAAAACATTACCTGCTATAACGACGGAAAAGAGAATTAGGAATTTCATATTTCCCTTTAGGTCATTTACAATGAACTACACCAGTCTGCTGGTGGCATTGGTTTTTATAAGGGTTTCCTATGTTTGGTTTTTACTAGATTAACTACTTATCTTTCAAATAAAACGATAACGCTCAACGATGAATGAATGTGATATTTTATCTTCTTAAATTTTAACTACTTACATTATCTTAAATTAATTGGTTGTTACACATTCAATCGTTGCTTCGGAGTTCATAATAACATCCAAGTATGAATAAAAACATGATAAAAACATCATAATATCATCAAAAGTAAGTAGATAATGATTTTAATCACACTCGTAGTATCTATTCGTCATTACAGTCGGATGGGCAGCGTTCGGGAAGCTTCGCCATATACTCACGTCCGAAATACCGCAGTGTCTCAAGTCAAAAGTATTTGACCAATGTGTGTTGCCAGTGATGGTATACGGATCTGAGACGTGGTCGCTTACTGTGGGCCTGTGCCATAAGAAGGCTCAAGGTTACCCAAAGGGCGATGGAGCGGGCTATGCTCGGAGTTTCCCTGCGTGATCGAATCATAAATGATGAGAACCAAAGTAACCGACATAGCTCGCAGAATTGCTAAAATCAAGTGGGAGTGAGCGGGGCACATCACATAGCTCGTAGAGACGATGGCCGTTGGGGCAGGAAAGTTCTCGAGTGGCGACCACGGGCTGGAAGACGTAGCGTGGGCAGGCTTCCTACTAGGTGGACCGACGATCTGGTAAAGGTCGCGGGAAGAGCCTGGATGCGGGCAGCGCAGGACCGTTCATTATGGAAAACCTTGAGGGAGGCCTTTGTCCAGCAGTGGACGTCATTTGTCTGAAACGAAACGAAACGTGGTGGAGGATAAAAGTACTTTGTGCATACCGTTAACCAATAAATCCAAGACACAACTTGTCTAATAACACTTCATTCATTCTAGCTTTGAAAGAAAGCACAATTAGTTTTCATCTAATATGCTTATGAAATTTTTGATTCATATGAAATTATGAAAATTTCAGAGAATAGGCTGTAAATTATTTATCATACCCCTAGGGGATTTTTCACACGCGTAAAGTATCGGTAACAACTAGTATGACAGTAACTGAGATCTTTGGTTTCTTTTAAATCAGTTAAATATTTCTAATGTTGATTGACACAAACATGAGTATGAAAGAAATTCTATCATTCATAATATTACAGTCTATAAGAGTATCAGCATTTTGACAGCCTATAAAAAGTATTTAAAGTGATTGGTAGTGTGAAAACTACCCAACTATTGTTAGCTTATTGAACTTTTAGAGAAGAAATGAAAATCAAAACAAATGAAAAATGTTTAATTTATTCATTAACCTTAATTGTGACATTTATGACGTATACTACTTTGTTCGGTAGTTTATTAATGTATGGGAAATACCAACCAATTAGCCAATTCAATAAAATTTAGATGCCTATCTATAAAATCTGCACAGGTGTGTACAAGCAAATGGGGAAGTACCTACCTACCTAGTACCTAATCTAATAGGCTCTAATCGTGCAATTGTGGCGTGATTGTTGATAATTAGGGTTTTTCTAGATTTTTTATCACCAATCACGCCATAAATGACTTGATCTTGTGTACAAGTAGGCCTGGCCTATCTACATAATAATATTTTGATTACTAACGCAATAAAAATTGTGTAAAAAATATTATATTTCATTGATGGCCCTGGTGCAGACAACTGTATCAAACTAACACTGTAAGGCCGAGTTGCACCACCAAACTTTGACCGAAACTATAGCGTTAGCCGGTGTTTTTTGTTTGGAGTTTGACAGTTTTTTGACATTTTTTAAAGTTAAAGTAAGATGGTGCCACTCAGCCTAAGTTTAAAGGGTGTTTTTTGCAACAAAAATCAAGAGTCTGATATGCTGTCGACTATACTACATTTTCGTTCGTTTCAGCCATTGACGGCCTCTGCTGGACAAAGACCTCTCCCAAGGATTTCCACAAGCACCGGTCCAACACTATCCGCATCCAGTTACTTGTAGCTAAATTCACCATATCGTCGGTCCACTAGTGGAAGGCCTATCCACACTACGTCCTCCAGCTGTGGTCGCTTCTCGTGAGGAGGGAAACTCTTCTGCCCCAGTAAGAATGTCACATGAGCATTATCATGTTTGTCAGATTTGATATTTCCTACAAAATCCATACCAATACCATAAATTACCAAGAAAAGAAACAGTAACTGCACTCATCATCATCATTAGTTTATATGTAGTAGTCCACTGTACTATATTATTATGATCATCGGCTTTTGAAACTTAACTTTTGTCTACAACGTTTCGGGGCAGGCCACGAGGTGGACCAACGATCTGGTGAAGGAACGAGGGAAGTTCGTGGATGCGGGCAGGGCAAGGCCGGTCGTTGTGAAAATCCTTGGAGAGGCTTTGTCCAGCTGTGAACGTCATTTTGCTGAAATGAACAAACGAATGAACGACCTTTTACTTATAAGTCGTCACTTCATTTAGCACTTTTGTCTACAACGTTTCGGGGCAGGCCACGAGGTGGACCAACGATCTGGTGAAGGAACGATGGAAGTTCGTGGATGCAGGCAGCGAGGCCGGTCGTTGTGGAAATCCTTGGAGAGGCCTTTGTCCAGCAGTGGACGTCATTTAGCTGAAATAAACAAACGAATGAACGACCTTTTACTTATAAGTCGTCACTTCATTTAGCACTTTTGTCTACAACGTTTCGGGGCAGGCCACGAGGTGGACCAACGATCTGGTGAAGGAACGATGGAAGTTCGTGGATGCAGGCAGCGAGGCCGATCGTTGTGGAAATCCTTGGAGAGGCCTTTGTCCAGCAGTGGACGTCATTTAGCTGAAATGAACAAACGAATGAACGACCTTTTACTTATAAGTCGTCACTTCATTTAGCTGCAGCTTCTACGCTGCGCTTGCTAAGTCTCGGTCTCCAGTCAAGATCCTATCTATGATTATAAGATTATATCTAATTTTTTGTATTATAATCTAAGTAAATATTGAATAGAAAATTATCAGGTAATCGGTAATTAGCAACGTAGAGCAATTTAAGTAGGTATACTTCTTGTTACTGGGCTTAGCGTTTTCGCCGCGTATTGGTGGGACTAATTACATAATCACTCGTTTAATATATTTAAGAAACACCATCTATTGTTAAATTGTTATATGCTATGCTGTACAACTTCCTTCTTTATTCTTTTAAATACCTGAATCATACTAACTAATTATCCTTCATTGTTGAAAAAAGGTCAAATGGATTCAAGTTATTAAAGGTTTTTTAGCTGATAGAGGAAAGAGTCTTTCACTATTTTACTCTTTCTAATTCTCTCTCTCTCTCTTATATCGTACATAAATAATACTCTCCGAAACTAGCAAAGAACAAAGCAGGTATTTGGTATCTTATAAGCGTTTGATAGCAAGTGTAGGATCAATTTGATACCTTCTTTGTATTTAATCAAAGATCTTTCTGTGTGTAACTTTATTCTCCATCCTTTCCACCAGGCGAAAGTTGGTGAGGATCTCATTCACGCAAAAACTATCAAACGGATTTTGATGAAACTTCAAAATAAATATTATTTTATGTAGTTAAGCTATAAATTATAACAATATTAATTATGATATCGATAAAAATTACATTATAATAATGGTATTAACCGCACGGATGAAGCCGTAGTCAGAAGTAGTGTACCTACCTACACAATAGAAATTCAGTTATTTTTTTTATATTTTTTCAGAGATTATTTTCAGAAGCCTAATAGTTAGGAAGTGACTTTTGAAGATAAACAATAACAAACATTTAAAAAAAATGTTTTATTTACAATATCATTAGAACATAAAATATAATTATATTTGTGTATAAACGTTAAAAAGCGGTGGTTTGCAACGCATGTAGGTCGTCTTCCGTGATTGATAAACCATAAAGTCCAGTCCTGAAAACAGAAGAACAGAATAAATCACTGTTTTAATAAACCGAGTTAAACAAGCTAGACAACCAAAGAATAGCCCAAAAAAGAAATAGAGTAGCTCCACTGAACATGACACAATTTATAACACTCACCCGAATTTGCCAATGTCTGCGTTGCCCATATTCAATTCTTCTCCTGAGCATATCTGAAGAACAGCCTGGATTGTGCTGTTGCAGCGACTTCCTACGAAACGGTCTTTTCTCACGCTAAGCGCGAAGAACTGGTATGACCTGGAGTGGGAACAGCCGCTGTTTTCACAACCTGGCTGGAAGCTGATGCCTCCGTTAGGGTAGAAGTCGGCATCAGCGATGGGCTTGAGCATGCCCTGGATACCACCATCAGTGTGGATCGCTTCAACGTAGCGTCCTGCTTCACGATTGAGAGCGTGGGGATTCAACCGCCAAAGGGGACCAGCTGCATCCAATCCTAGAAATAAATTGATATAATAAATCGGTACGGTAATGCACAATATTGCGCCACATTGTCGGCACATGCCTTTATTATGACGCTACTGCGTAGCTTGTATCAAACATAAATTTTAGGTGAAAATATCCCTGTTCTTTTTTACCTGTAACCCTAGAGGGCCGACCACCAGCTCCGCGTCCAGCATTTCCAACGACGTGAGCGCCTAAGCTGTACCCGATGAGGTGGAATTGGCTCCAGTCCGACAATCCAGCGTCGACGAGCCACACCAGAAAGTCGCCTATGTATTCGCCCACACTAGGCACTCCCGCTACAGCCCTGAGATAATTTCCCGAAGCAGCGTGGTTCCAATCCACAACTATAACATTGCAGTCTACAGCGGCAAGGAATGCGTCTCGTACGACAATGTTGAATGCAGAGTTTCCACTGCTAGTCCATCCATGGAGGAGGAATTTCGTTGGCTTGCTTGCATCGTAGTTGGAATTATGTACTGATGCAACATCACCATGAGTAATAATTTGACGCTGAGTGGGGTTTTGCCTGTAATTCAAAACGTAACATGGTAAGATTGCAAAATTAATATTTGTGTAAACTGTCACAAGCCACACCCAAT